CCAGCTTGCCTTCTGTGGTCGGTCTCGCTTCGGTAGCAGTCTCGGGTCGTCAGCAGCGTGTCCTACAACAAAGTTTCCGTTCTGCTCGCACCTCGCTATTTAAGGGGCAGTCGTAATTGCTCCCCATTGGCTCTCCATTGTCATCGTGCGCATGCTCGCTTACGCACGCCTGTGCGTCTGTCCTCAGCGTGACCTCACTGACAGTAGCAACTCAGCTCCAGGGCCGTCTGGCCTCGGGTGTGCCTTCTTTGTCCTGGCATAATGTCCGCCCTTTGAAGGTCGTGTAACTTGCCCCTTCCGACGTGACCTCGGACTGTCTGTGTCTCTGTCTGGGTGACGTGCTCGGTCAGCCTAACAAACAGTAATGCAAAAACTTTGTGCTACGTCATCAGCCCTTCGTACTGCGTTTGCTTTCTGCCGGCGGTCGCGACGAAGCTTAGTCAATGGCCGGCACCCCGTCACGATGATGATATCTTGGAATACTGTTGAATGATTCTTAATGTTGAAAGTCCACCTAAGTATTCCCTTTTTTATCGAAAACAGTTTTAGAATTTTTGTTAACACTTCATGGGATAGGTCAGATACTGTAGGCATGCCTGAAGCTTGTGACCCTAATGTCAGGAGGCCGGAGGTGAATGTGCTATGCTTGACAAGGTCGACTGCGAAAACAAAGCTCAATCAGCGGGCAAAAGCAGGTGTCGGTATGCGCAGGGATCTGTACGTGCAGTCCTTTTTTGCGGGTTTGCTGAATGCAACATGAACCGGCTTTTAAGAAGGAAACACTTGCAGAGCATGATGCCATAGGATTAAAGGTTTTCAGCTATGAAGTCGTTAGATTATCCTTTTATTAGACGGCAAGTCTGACAGCACACTTTCACGAAATGCTTTAAGATACGGCACTTAGTGATGCGATACTTTAAGAACATTTTTCCTGTGATCCTGACAATTCAACTAGGAACAGTGACACATTATGTCAGTGCCAGGTTGCTCCCCATGCTCGGTCGCCAACAGTAATTGGCGGCGAAGCTAAAATAATGCCTCAGAGGTAGGCGCTCACAGCAGGGTACGATATTTTCGGTTCTAATGAGTCCACCAGCGGGTCTGCGGTATCATCGCTGCAGACTCCTCAA